ACAAAATCTGTGCTTTGGGAAAAAAAAATAACTGCAATTGAGGTGTCAATGCCCAAGAGGTCAGAAAACTTGAGGTATTTAACCCCTCAAGGTTCAGTTTACTTATTTAAAAAGGGAGTCAAAAGGCACAAAAAGTACACAGCCACAGACAAACTGATAAATTTTTCCAAGGAATCCCAAGAGAAAGAGATGAGAGCCAGGCTTGAGGGAGAGAACTGGGCTGGCTGTGAATGAGGCCCAAGGGGAACAGTTTCCACAGGAGCTAGACAGGTCAGGCACTGATCAGCACCTTTGTCACTCACAAAGATACGGAAAAGAAGCGGGTACCAGATCTTTCGGAGGAGAATTCACGTGAGGGAAAAGAATAGAGAAGAGTTGGAAAATCAGACTTGAAAACTGGGCTAAAGACCTGAGCTTGAACTTTACAGGCAACAAGGGCATGCTTCAGATGGAGCTCTGGAAACATGAAGTCTGCCAGCAGTGAGAGGTTGAAAGGTGGAAATCAAGTCAATGCCATGGAGCCTAGGAAACTGTCCAGGACATCTCTGGCTCAGAGCACCCTACAAACGTGGTACCATACTTTCATCATCAAGGGCTACTGGCTCCTGACTTCAAAGTTCGGCTAACACAAATGCCCTTTCATTATTGCTGTCCTACTATGTGCTCTGTAGCCCTTACCTTGAAGTTGCTTAACAACAAAGCAAGATAGACACTGTTACTCCCACTCACTGACCGTACAGGTAGGTCAGATAAGTACCTGGGATCCCACAGGTGGTCAAGGGTGGGTAGAGCTAGACTTCTATGCTAAAAACAAAGAGCTTTTCACTGGCCAAGGGGCACTCAGGAAGGAGGAACAGTGCCACTATAAAGGTTTCCCTGCTGGCTTGTTCTTGAAAGTCCCCCGCAAATTAGTGACCTGGAAATGTTATCTATCACTGACTCTGAATCAAAGTTTTGAAATCCATTAATAATAAGGGACCAGGTCCTACCAGTCACACCAATGGAGTCACACACTGGAGGTTGGTGTCTTCATAAATGACCACACTTAAAGCCAGAGGAGGAGAAAAGTAAACACTGCTCTCTGCCTCAACACTCTGGTTGAACAGTGAAGGTCAGGCCTGATTTTGTGAGAAGTGACAGCCCTAGAACAGCAGGACTGGTGGCATGGGGAGCAGGCCCCTGGCTATCCTGACCAGGAAGCTCTCTCCCTGCTAGTAACAACTGTCCTGCTTGCAGCTGTTCCCATGGCTTTGCTGTCCCCAACACAGCAGGGGGAATAAAGAGAAAGAGAGCATTTGACAATAGAAATTCTTTCGGACTGCACAAGACAAGATACTTCAATTGCATTGTGCAACAAGGCAAAAAGAGACCCAGTCAATGTCCTCGGATGATTTTATGGTCGTCAAAGGGCTGCCTTCAAGACTTGATGGGACAAGGAAGTCCTGGCTCTCTGCCTGTACACATCGAGGAAAAAAAATGATTTGGCTGGGAGGAGCTACCAAAAACAACAATGTCTCCATTTTTTCCAATAAAAAAAAAGATCACTGTATCAGAAACAAGCAAACACACTACAAAAAGGGGAGAAAAATAGGCTTAGGAACTGGATTGCAATTTAAAAAGCCATGTGGACAACTCCAGGTGAAAGCCCTGGACCCCTCCCTGGTGAAGCCGGATGCTGGCTTTCCATGGCGGCATCTCTAGAGCTGCCTGTTCCACCCCACGCTGAGCCAGGCTGTAAGAAATAGGTACAGCTGGAGTATTTTCCACTAGCAGTATATCGCTAAAAACCTGAGTGCCTGCTTTCTACACTTTCATTTATGAGTGTCTTACTTGTGTACATTTTGCCTCCTTTATCTGAAAAAAATCAACACGTTTGTGTATGTCTCATTAATAACCCTCAAAAGACCTTGCACTTGAACATCTATTAGACCTTGCCTATTCCTAAAATAGAAAGCCAAAAAGTTGGCTCATTTGGAAACTACTGGCCCCACTTCAAAACATCAACAAGTTTGTACAGTAGTCATGCCACTCTGCTGGATGAACCTTTCTGTTCGTTTTTTTTTTAATTGCCTTTGGTTATAGACAGACCTAAACTTAGTTTCTTCCTGAAGTCCACTTTCTAACAACTCACCTAGAAATGCTGAAAAACGCAGCTTCCCAATGTGTGCACACACAATGAACTCAAGAGAAGCCATAAAAAGCTAATGAAGGCCAGGAAGAAACTGAAACTGGACTGGGGAGTTGGGCGCCTCAGGTTCTCCAATCCTGGAGCGCATTTTTGAAGTCAGCAGCGTCAGCTGATTGGCACAAGCTTCCCTTGGCCGCTGGCTACCAGTAAGATGCCTGATCCCATTACACAGGCAAGCGCAGACAAGAGGCGAGCACAGGAATCAGGACCGTGAGGCAACTGCTTCAGTACCACTCAACTAGGAATGACTTTGCTCCATGGATTCATCAGACAACACCTGCACACATTTTGGGGTGTCACAACTTGAGATAGGGGCTACTAGTATGTAGTGAGTAAAGGCCAGAGATACTGTTCAATATCCCACAATGCACAGGACAGTCCCTATCCCACCCCCAAAAGAAAGAATTATTGGGATCAAAATATCAGTGGTACCTAGTTTGAAAAACCCCTGTCTAAGCTCTAAATAGCAGCTGTAATTCATAAGTAGTTTTTTTCTCCTTATTATTTGGCTATGCATAAATAAAGCTAACACATGTAACATCTCACTCTGTATTTTTTTTTCAGCTGTCAACCTAAGCTTCAAATTGTTGTCCAACAAGCAAGGAGTTGTTATCCTTGTATCACAGTGGGAGACGTCAGCAAAGAACAAGCAGAGACTGCTCTGTGCTAAGGAGCCTCTACACACCGGCTGTCCTTGGAAATATCACTTCCACACCGTCTCAATTCAAAAAGGACATGACAACCTTTTCCTCACTGGACAATTAAACAAAAGGATGTTCTGTTGTACAATACTAAAAAGAGAGAAAGAGAGATAAAGTCTATGTCAAGAAGGTTCTCTAGTTAATACAACACTCTTTAGGCTCTGGCCCTGCTACTATCCATTCAAAGTGGTTATGTTTAGGGGTGGAAATCTGAAGTCGAACTAAAAACCAAAAGTGTAATGCATACACATCACCAGATTAAGACTTGAACCCAAAATAAATGAAAATCTCTCAGAAATACCAAAGTCAGCTGCAGTGAAGGGAAAAAGGCTCTGGATTCTGTGACACTCTCCAACCTTGGACAAGTGACTTATCTTTGGGTTAAGATTCTTCAGGATGGAATATGTGATCGATAAAGACCAACTTCAATAATATACTAATCACTGAAACAAAACCCAGCATCCAAGTCTCCTTACACAGAACCAAAGTTCAGGAAAAGGCCCAACGTTGGGGGCCGGCAGGAAGACCCTGCGCATGTCCTCCTGAAGTCCCCACACTGGTGCTAGGAGGCACAGTTCTCCCCAAGGGCAGGCCTAGGCCCGGTAGTCCACAGACTGCAGGAGGATTGCAGCCCCAACAAACCTTTACAAATGCTGTGTTTTCAGCAGATTTTCTAAAAGACCCAGAACACCAAAACAAACAAAACCAAAAGCCAAGTTAACAACTATTTGCCCTAGAGGCAGAGCCCCAGCTTTCTGACAGATGAAAGCAATTAAAACCCAGAGCCTAGGGGTCATTTACCTTTGTGCAAACTACAACTCACAAAAAGTCCCGGTGCCTTCTTACAAGCACGAAAACAAAGGTTCGTGGATTACAAAATGCTATGATCTCACAACGACATATATTCCTCTTTTTTAAAGTAAAAATATGTACTTCCTTCCTAGGCTACCTTTCATAATGAATGAGGCACCTCTTTGAAACATTCGGTATTACTATTACACTAGACTACGTTTATCACTTTGGTCATTATAAATAGTTGTCTGAGAATACAGTACCCAGAAAGAAAAGAGACTTGAAATACTATATCCAATTAAGCCAGATAAAGCAAGTTAGCTAGCACAGAAGCAAATTGTCACCAACCTGATTTGCTGGAAGATTCCAAAACCGTCCAGGATTCACAAAACATCCCCTGGCTTTCAACGAAAATCAGTCTCCCTCAAGTCAACTCAGTTTACTTTGAGCCACTTCAAACCTCAAACTTAAACAGAATTTATTAAATAAACACAACCGAGAAAGGAAAAGGAGCCAAGAAACCACAGCAACTCTGGATCCCTGGGGGGAAGAACGGGTTCTCGAGTCAAGTTTCAAGTAACTGTGGTGTCCCGCCCTCAAAGACCCTAAAGAGGGCATCCGTTTCATCTTTTTAAATGGCCATTGTTAGCCCTAAACGAATTTTCTTTAAACTCAAATCCAAATTTGCCAACGACAGGCAGTCAGCACAAATACAGGATCTTTTAATCCCATGCTGTGGAATTATCCCAAATCCTAAAAGAGCACTTCTTGGTGAGCTTGGAACCTGGACTCCAAGGTCGTGCAGGCGGAGAAAGCAATGACCGATTAGCCCCCGGCCGACCCTCCTCACACTTCATTAAGCCCCCTCTTCGGGAAGTGCCCTGCACAGGAAGCCCCACGTTTTGCAAAGGAAATGCCAGACCAGATCCTTCTTGGAGAGAGGCACGTCCCAGCTGAACATTTTATTGGGCTTCCTGCTCCCAGGCAGCCGGGCCGGGCCGGGCAGGGCCGGGCGCCCGCGGACTCACCTGGCGCGCGGTGCCGGGGGACACCCGGGGAGCCCTCCACCCACGCACAGGGAGACGCACCTTGGTTACACCCGGAACCCAGTGGGCGCGCGGAACAGAACTAAACCTGCCTCGGCTTACTCATCCGAGACTCGGGACCGGCGGAGGGCCGGCAGGTTTCGGAGGCTCCCCAAAAGTTTCCGGTCTCGGGTTAGGGACGGCGCCCGGGGCGCGCGGCACAGCGCAGCGCAGGACCCTCGGCGCCTCCCGCGTCCGGGAGCTGCGAGGCCAGGGCGGCCCGAGCGCACTCACCTCGGGGAAGAAGTTGTCCATTGTTCCAGCGCACTCCCCAGCCCGCCCGGCGGCTGCGGCTCGCGGAAGTCAGCGCAGCAGGTCCCGGGAAACCATGCGTGTCACGGCGCGACTCCCGGGAACTCGAGCCCGCGGGGCTCCTCCGCTGCCATCGCCTGATCCCCGGCACGTCTTCCTCACCTTTTGTTTGCCCAAACCCAAGTCCTTAACTCATCCGTCCCAACTGCAGCCTTTTGTCTCTTCTTCCTCCAAGTTCCTCACTCCAGGGCGCAGCGCTCCCGGGCGGAGAACAGCTGGTGGCACATTCTTCCCGGGCTAGGGGAGGATGGCGGGGGGCTGGCGAGCGCGATGCCTCCTCCCTCTGCGCCCCTCCGGGGGACTATCCGGACCGACAAGGGGACAGCCGGCCACAAAGCGCGCCCGAGTCGCTCTCCCGGCCAGTGCCGCCTCTGTGAGCAGCCGGGCGCCCAGGCTCAGCCGGCTCTTGCCCGCTCTCAGGCTCGCAGACAGGCGCGCACGGGCCGCCCCGCCCGCTCGCACGCCCCGCCCACGAGGGCCCCGCCCTCCCCGAGGTGTAGCCGCGCCCACTCCGCCGTTCGGCCCCGCCCCCGCAAGCCCCGCCCTCAGCCTTCCCTGGAGCCGCCTGCAGGCTAACCGGCTCGGGGCTCCCACCTTGGCGGGTCCCTCTGTGCGCCCCAGCCAACCACCAGCTCTGTGACTGGGAGTAGGGGGATCTCGAGGCACTCTCTGGTCCTCCCCCCACCGCCCGGAGGCACGGGCGGGGAATTTGATTCTTCTCTTTGGTGATGGTGATAAAGACTAAATGGTCACAGAGGTTGGAGGAGGGTCCCCAGGGCCTTTGATGTTAGCGGACCCTGGAACCCCACTCCACACCGATCTCATTAATGCAGTTGGGCAGATGAGCGATCCCGGGAAAGGAAACGCGGTCAGCCTAGCTGCGCGGGATCAAAGAAGAAAACTAAGGCTAATCAGAATTTCTGGAAGCTGCCTTCCTTGTTGAATCTCTCTCCAGCAGTCAGGTTAAAGACATTTTCATAACAGCGGGGAAATGTAATTTTGTAAACTGGAAGGGGACGTGCCCTTAGCGTCTTAAAAATGTAACCCTTTTCCTGGACCTAAAGGAAACAGAAGGGCAGATGGAACGGAGATGAATGAACGTTCAAATCCTCCTGGAGTCCCAGTTTTCTCCAGGGCAGTTCCTCAAACCATACGGTGCCCAGGAATCACCTGGGGATCTTGAATTAGCACAGACTGGGATTCCGCAGGGCGAGCCCCAAGAGTCTGCTTTCCAGGTGCCTCTTAGAAGCGGGCAGAGAGAGCTCTTTAACAAGCAGAGAAAGTAAGAGAAAAGGGTTGGAAACTTTTGTGGCGGTTCAGCAGTATCACGACATCCGAGCACGTGATCCGATCTGAGCACTCTTTGAATCGACCAGTTTGGGTGTCAGACTCACTCGTGACTCACACCTGGCACAGCAGCCTAGGAGTTGGCAGATTGAAAACAAAAATAATTGGTTTCTTCACCACAAATGGTTAGAGAAGTCCTCTCCAGGAGACTTTGAAAACTGCTGCTCAACCTTTAAAACAGCTCAGAAAGACATCCTCCAGCTTAGGTGCCTGTTCCCTGGGTTTATTCCTGAGACTGTAGGATCAGTTTCATGTCCTAAAGGACTTTTTCTTGGTGTCCTACCCACCTAAAGTTGGGAAGAATATAAGTTCCTAGAAGAAAGGAATTGTGCTTTAAATTTGGGTCACCAACCTGTCTCTGAGTGGATGGATGGGATGGAAGGATGGATGGATGAACGGATGAATGAATGAAACATCCTTTTGCAATCCCTGTTGGGAAATTCACTTTGTAACAGCAGTTCTTTGGGAAGAGAAAGATAAACTGATTATATTATTGTTCTATTGTTTTGTTTCACAGGTTTACACATTTAAGGCTCTAAATCAATAAAGATTGTGTCAAGGTAGAAGGAAAGTTATGATGGAGTCAGACAAATGCCAGTGATCCCAATCACCAACCAAAGTGCTTAGTCAAATGAGTCCAATTGTGTTCAGATACTGGAGCAGAACAATTACAGTCATTACAGTATTAATCTGCACAAGACACCTCTTCAAGAGAAATTACTAGAGTTTATTCCAGTGTGTGGGTGTGGCTTCATTCCCCGCATCACCCAGACACTGGTGCTTTGAGCAACCTTGGCCTTGTCATTTCAAAAGCCACTCTCCAGTCCTGTGTAGGCCCAGCAGTGGTAACAAATGCCCCACACTAATATGACATGCCAATGACGGGGGTCCTGAAGATGGGGGCCAGATGTACATGGGCATTCCACAATTTCCTGTGAACCTAAAACTGTTTTAAATGTATAATTATCTTTATCTATTTATATTTGGTTTTTAACATTGTGCCTTGCTATGTAGCCCAAGCTGACCTCAAACTCATGAATCTCCTGCCTCAACCTGTAAATGAGGGGATTACAGGCATGTCCCAGCATGTTGTGCTATTTTTTTAAAAAGTCACTTTCTTGTCAATTGAGAAAATAGGGGCCAGGTGCTAGTGGTTCGCATCTATAATCTTAGCTACTCAGGAGGCAGAGATCAGGAGGATGGCAGTCCCAAGCAGGGCCAGAAAAACAGTTCACAAAACCCTCTCTCAAAAATACCCAACACAAAAAAGGGCTGGTGGAGTGGCTCAAGTGGTAGAGCACCTGTCTGGCAAGTGTTGAGGGCCTGGGTTCAAACCCTAGTATTGCCAAAAAAGAAAAAGATAGGGTTAATAGTTGTCCCAAACTTGACTCACACACAGAATTGTAAGCCAAATCCAATTGAAGTTTACTGAATCATTTTACTTTAAAAGTTAACATCAGTTTTTATAAACTGTGGTCCCTAGACCACCTTATCAGACTCCCCTGGGGAAATTATTAAAAAGAAAACACCAAAAAGTCAGACTCTGAATCCCTGGGGCAGGTCGGGTGCCTAAGAATCTGCATTTTAATAAGACCCCAGGCAGCCCAGAGTTTGAGGATCCCTGCTTTAGGTGGTCAGCATTCATCAGGTTTTCTGTATGCACACACACTCAGAATGGTGGAAAGACAACCCAGAGCAGTAAAACGCTCTTTGCAGAACAAACAGCAAAGTGCCTGTTGTTTTAAGCATCCTACATATGACACCCAAACCCCAAGTACTGGTATGCAATAGATGGTTTACAAAGATGCTGTTAAATTTACAAGGTCTTAGACAAGATTAAACAGAAAAGGAGGGCATTTTAAACCAATGGATTTCTAAGAATACCCACTCTTGCTACCATGTTTTAGAGGTTAAGTTCTTCCTCTCAGGGGACTTTGCTATTCCATAGTTAGTCAAAGCAGTTTAAGCTGAAACAGTTAAACCTGTCCTCTGAGAAGTGACAAAGGCACAAAAGTGTTAGTGTCAGAATCCTGGTACCATTTCTCTGAGAAATGTTCAACTTTCCCACTTATTTTTCAAAAAGGCTAATGAGGTATTACATTTTCAAAATAGAACTCCCCCAAAGCTCAAGTTCTCTTATTTAGTGGAGTAAATTAATCCGGGATTGACAAAAGTTTATTTTACTCTGGAGGGGTCCATTTCCCCACGTTCAGGGGAGTTACGCACATGTATTTGTGAGTTTAGTGCTATATAATCGTCCTCTGTTTGTTCTCCAGCTCGTCGTTTGTTTGTTTTCAGCTGAAACATGTTGTCTTGATTTCTTTTGTGAATTCAAATCGGGTTCCTTTGTTGTTGATGGTACTACTGCTGTCCTAATCTTGATGTGTGTGCAGGTGTACAGTCTCTTCCATTATCTTTATTTTCGTTAAATACTCAGCACTTAATTGCTTCAGAGTCATGCTTTAATTACTAGTTCCAGAAAGGGAAAGTTCTGGAAGGTTCTTTCACACAAATTAGAAGTTAATAACTGACACAATCCTAAACTCCTTTCATGCTTAACCAAACAGTTCATACTTTCTGTTCACCTGTAGTCTTGGGTGTTCAAAAAAATTCAAAGGCTTTTTGTCCTTTTAAATAAATAAAATCAAGGAAATTTTAAAAGGTTCTTTAAATTTTTAGACAAATGTTCCTTTTTCTTCTCATAACTTACATTTCAAAAATCCTTGGGGGAATTTTTTTTCCTGTGAAATAGAAAACAATGGTGAATGATTATTTCTATAGGAAGAATAAAATTTGGAGGGAAAAATACCTGAAATGTCTCATGTGGTGATAGAATGAATCAAGTGCAGAAGAATTAACATAGAAATATAACGGGGAGAAGATATTCAAAGAATTTATTTTGCCAGCAGTTATTCTTCTACACAAGACAAGCTAGGATGAGACAGTTAATTTTAAGATCCTGTCACCTCAGCCTACAAGAATGCTTTCTCAAGTGACATCCCACACATATGGAAGTTTGCTTTCATAAATTGCTCCAGTTCTGCACTTGGTTCTAGTGAAAGAATCGTTGAACTCCTGAAAATGTCCATGAAGATGCATGACACCCATGGGAAGCGATGGGTGACACTTTCTTCTCCCTCCATTTCTTTGTGTCTGTGGGCCTCTCTTTCTCTCTCCCATTACTCCAAAGGGCTGGGTTCTGATGTTTGGCATCTCGCTCATCTACTGTTAAATCACATGGTCACCACTTCTAAACGTTGTGCCCTCACTTGTTCTCTTTTCTTGCACCCTCAATCTTCCTGCTCATTATCCAAACCAAACCTAATTGCTCCCTGAATCACTGAGCCATCTCTCTTCAAATTCCTTACTGTGGTTTGGATTTATTTTGTCCCCCAAAGGTTCATGTACGGGAGGCTTGGTCCTTAATGTAGTGGTGTTGAATAGTGATAGAATCTTTAAGAGGAGGGTCCTGAGGGCATCACTCTTGGAAGGGATTAACTCCTGTCTCTAGAAGTAGGTTAGGTCTTGTGGGACCTAGAGAGCAGGTTGTTTTGCCAGCTCACATGCATCTGCCTGCTTTCCCTTCTGCTTCTCTGTTGTTGTGAGGAAGCCAAGGGGTTCTCTCCAGATGCCAGCACCATTCTGTGTGGACTTTCCAGCCAGCACAATCATGAGCCAAACAGGCCTCTTTTCTTTATACATTCCCCATCCTCAGATGTTCTGTTACAGCAACACAGAATGGGCACCCTCCTCACTTTTCAGGTCTACATTTCATCCCCAAACAGTCATCTCTTCAACCCCTTGTGGTCTGATTTTTATCCCCCCATCTCACCTCTTAAAAATTGCTCTGACTTCAAAATAATCTAAGTCAATAGCCTGTTCCCAAATCTCACCCTCCTTGGCATGCTCTCTTTTGAAATTCTCTAACCTCTTTGTTCCAGGGTCAGCATCATAGGTGTGCAACCTGAACAGTTAGTTGCACAGAGCTCTAAACTCTACTGTTGGTATCTTAAAATTCTTAATAATTCTTAAACAAAGGACTCTCCTTTTCATTTGACAAT